GTTCCTTTTTTCCATTATAGCCAATAACGAGGCGGTAACGAACATCCTTCTGCACGTCTCCTGTGAGAGTGTGCCTGACATATGTCCCCAGAAATGAAACAGCTTTACCAAATATTACGAAATCGTGCTCTACAAAGTTCGTATCCAGTCCCACGTCCGAAAACAGCATGTTAACATTCCTGTTTCTCCTCATCAACAGCTGGGATTATGAGACTTGGTTATTTTCTGATTTGATGGGTACGAAACTGGATCATGTAGTTTTAACGCGCCTCCTCTGGTTGCCAGAAAGTTTTGACATCTTTCCGTATATTTAAACACCCATTATCATATCCCGTTCAGGTTACGCCCTGCTCATTTTTCTCTCTCTCTTATTGATTTGTAGGCATTTGGATAAGAACAGTTGTCAGTTAGCACATTGTTTTTTCAATGCATGGAGGTTCCTTTAGCTTTGTTTACTCTGTCTTTTAAAATCTTATGCTGTATTTTTAAATGTTTTTTCTTTCTTGGATGCGCTCTTTGGATCCCATTTAAGAATTCTTCCTTTATCCTAATAACACAGAGTTATTCTGCCATATGTTCTTCTAAATATTTGAAAATATTGCTTTACTTAAGGCTGTCATACCTCTGGAATTCCTTTTTGTGTGCGATATAAGAAAGAGATCAAATTTCCTTTTTTTTTCTACATGGATAGCCTTTTGTCTTGACACCATTTTTGCGCTATTTACTATTTTTCCACCGATTTGTCATGCGTCCTCAGCAATTTACCAAATCTCCGTGGGCTTATTTCTGGGCTCTCTGTTCAGTTATTTTTCATTCCTAAATCACACCCCGGCATATTAATTTCTATAACATTATAACAAGTCTTGTAACCTGCTGGGAAATTCCCCTCCCACAATTCTTCTTTTTCCACATTTATTGATCTTTTATACTTTTCTGTAAATTTTAGCCTCAGCCTATCCGGAGCTATCCTGTTGGGATGTTCACCGGATATACTGAATTTATGTTAGTTTGAGAGTCATAAACATAGCTTATCTCTTTATTTGTATGGGGTGTACTTTCCTAAAGTTTTATAATGTTCTCTGTGAAGTACATGTATTTATTCCCAGGTACTTCACGCCATCGTAAATGGCATTGGCTTTTAAGTTTCATTTACAATTCGTTTTGATGTTTTATGTGAACGCTACTCATTTAAAATTTTCATTTATGAAATATTGACTAGATAATTACTTGTAAAGAGTGACGAAATATTGAACCATCACTCGGTTTAAGAAAAAAGCGTGTCATTATTTCCAAAGTCCCCGGTAGTGTCCCTCGCATGCCACCCTCTTCCTCCGCTCCTCGGGGGGGGACAGCTCCCGTCCTAAATTTCGTGTCAAGCACTTCCTCGCCCCTCTTTAAAGCTTTCTCCCGTACGTTTCTGTCCCCTCGCAATGTATTTCATGCCGTGCCTGCTCTTGTTCTTTACAGAAATGAAATCATTCCCAGTGTCTTCTGCTTCTCAGCGTCACGTCTGTCATCCTCATCGTCGTGGACCTGGGATTCAGCCAGGAGATTCCGTGTCATCGTAACCTATTAATTATTGTCATCATTGTATGACTCGACAACAGTTAGTTATGCTTTCTGTCATCGATGGACTTTGGGGTGGTTTCCTGTCATTTGCTATAGTAGACATCCCGTTCCGAACACCTTTAGACCTATTTGCTGGGGTACATGTGCAAGCATTTCTCTAGGGGATGTTTCAGGGTTAAACCTGCTGGTTTTACGGTGTACACGGCTTCAAATTCACTAGGTAATGCCAAATCTTTTTCCAAATGTCCTTACCAGTACAGTACGTCAGCTGGCACGAGCTTCACTAAAGCTCGATATTGTCTGATTTGAAAATTTTAGGCATCTTTGTAGGTGTAATAGGGTATTTAATTGAAGCTTCACTCTTGAATCTGTAAGTAGAGATGAACTGTCCTAATCCACCCAATCTCCAACGCCGGCATAAGACCCAACGTTAACGAAGGAAAAAGTAGACACGAAAATATTTCGTAAATTACAAGGTTCTCCACATACTCGTTTTTATCATTGATAAATTGAGAGCGTTTTGGAGCATCGACACCCAACGTCGGAGCACAACTTCCCCTCGAGAGCTGAATGCTTTCTAAGCGTGGGCATCTGCAGAGCTGTAGGCTGGGGAAGGGCGCCCGCTGCTGTGACAGCGACGGTGATCCGAACCCTTCTTCTGAGTAAGGCGCATCTCCCGATCTCGTGGCATCTTAAGCGGGGTTGACACTGAAGCCCTAGGATCTAGAGGAAGTAAGTTGTTGTTATTATTATTATTATTTTGGGCGAGGTAACCCTTGTTTGACCTCACAGATTGCAAGGGCCTTGTCAGCTTACAATCCCTTATTTTTTTACGCCTACAGCACCTAGTCTTCCTAGGTGGTCTCCCATCCAAGTACTAACCAGGCCCGACCCTGCTTAGCTTCCGAGATCGGATGGGATCTGGCTTGCTCAGGGCGGCGTGGCCATAGACGAGAAAGTAAATTAAAGAGCAATGACTCGGAGCGCATTTTCTCGTCTTTGCGTGGCTGCCAGAAAATTCTTGAAAAATCAGCCCGGCTGCATTTTAGGAACTTGATTGCAAAGGTTTTAGAAATGTGTATCCAGTGTCCAAATAATTCCCAGGACACCTTCGGCGCGAAGGAGTACAAACCTAAGTTCTGACTGCTGACTCGGCCATTTTCTACATAATTTTGTTCTATTTTTTTTATTTTTTCCTTCTTCTCCTCCAATACTTAATCGATTTCAGGGCAGTCCCTTGCTCTATCCTGTGAGTGCCCGATCTGATTATCTATGGACCTGAACATTCTGCAAATGCAGGAGGCGATTTCACATTATTAGTGCTTTTGCAAATCAGCCAGGTTTAAACTGTGAGGGTTTTCGCCTGAGAGTTCTCAGTTGGTTTAAATCGCCCCTAGGTGTAGAGGTTTGTGTTCCTCAGCAGTCAGTGTGCTCCAAGACAGCCAAACGGAGGAGTGAGCTTTTAGACGTGGCCCAGGAGGAAAGCCAAGGGTTTCCTTCAGGTCTCTGCTGCTGGCCGTGGCTCAGGGTCACGGTGCACGGTCAGGGCTGGGAGAAGGCACGTCCACGTGGGTGCGTGCGCACCTGCAAGCGCGAGTGCCCGAGCTGCCCAAGTCGACGGGAACAGCGAGAACCGGCGGTCCCTGGAGACCCAGGCGGCGGGCCTCCGAGGCTGTGGGCGTGTGAGTGTGGGCAACTCGTGTGCATTTTGTGAAGAAAGAATGGGCACGGACCACCTGACATGGCAAGATCGTCACTGTCGGCTTTTCTCGGTCTTCCCAGGAAGCAATCCCCAGTATCCATAACCATTGAAAGCATCGTTATTGAGCATCTGCTAAGTGTCAGGACGGAGCTAGGTGTGGGGGGAGGGGCAAAGGGGTGAAGCAAGAAGACACGGTCCCTGCCTTCCAGGGGCTTAGAGTCTAGTGGGGGAGACACACAATAAGCAAGTAAACGAACACAGGAACAGGTGACCGAGTTCTGTGTGTCATGGTGCTTTACGGAGACGGGCGGGGGCGGGAGTGGTAGATAAGTAGACCAAGGTGAGAAGTTCAAACTTCATTCAAAGTGGAAGCGATGGGAAATTTTTCACCGGGTGAAGGATGTGATTTAGCGCATGTTGAAAACAGATTATTCTGCTGTTGTGTAGTGGTTGGTTGGGGGCGGTCGACAGCGAATGCTGTTTGTCATGCCTTGTTTATAGTAGTCCTGAGAAACCACCTCCATGGTGCTTGTGCTTCTAAACAGAAAATAAAAACCTAACGAAGCATTCTCGCAAATCCTCTGAGAAGTCAGAGGCACCTCAGATCAAGGAGGAAACGCCTGGCCCATGTGTGCAAACGGGAGTAAAAGATACAAAGACTCTAATGTAGCTTGCGAATTAAAAAAAAAAATCAACATTTGACATTTCAACATTTCAATAATCCAGTTACTCAGGTGAAATGTTATTGCAGGCTTCGCGAATTCATGAAACGAGCCTGCTTCACCTGCAGAGAACCAGCATGGGGCACCAGGACGAGTGTGGGTTTTGGGGCCCTGGACCTCAATCCACTTTCCAGCCGGGGACCTCGGGCAGATTATTTAATCTGCACGAGCCTCGGCCTCCTCCCACGATGCCTGTGTCTACGTGCGTTAGGAGGACCCAATGAATGAGGTTTGTGATAAAAGCCAGCTACCGCATTGCCCGTGGGCTTGATGCAAGTACAGTCTGTCCCCACACCTACATCGGAACCTCTCCCAATGCTTCAGGGACAGACATTCATGCAGGTGGACTGAAGTGGACCCAGAAACCTGAGCTTGCTGGAAAAAGTGAGAAAGAGGCGTCTTGCTAAGAGCAGCGAATTTCAGAAAGAGCGTGAAATAAGCACCGACAACCGCCTCGTTTCTAAAAATCATCTTTATTTGATTTTCATCACCTTTCAGTGAAAGGGCGTTTCCTGTCAGCGCTATGTAATTACAAACCTTGCAAATACATCTTATAGGCAGTAAAATTTCCTTAAAAACGAAAGGGAACTAACTCCAAGGCAAGTTCGCGATAGGAGAGAGTCTAAAATACAAGTTTGGTTACGTGTAAGCAGGTTCCCACCAAGAAAGGCCAGCGGTAGCGCTCATCCGTGAAAGCAGCACTATGAACATCTATTGTGCTTGTTCTCAAGCTAGCTGTCCCTAACAGAGAAGCGGGTTTGCCCTTTCCTTCCCGGTGATCATAGAAACGTACTCGGGTATCTAACCATCCCGGCAGGACAAGCCAAGGGGAGTGAAAGCTGAGCTCCTGTGTCCCGGGGCTGGAGCACAAACCGAGCTTTCCGAAAGGTGGAGCGACGTGACGGTTTCAGATGCTACAGCAACAGGGAGGCCTGAGGGGACCGTGGCGTTAGCCCACCGTGTCTGGGCAGCTGGCGTCATTTGGTCCCCTTAGGTTCTCCGCAGCCTCAGCCTTGACGACCTGGCGGCACCGTGATCGCGGGGACTGGGTACTCCAGGGCACTGCAGTCATCCGACAGGAACACCAGGTCCTGAAAAAGACGCGCGATGAGCGGGAGTGTCCCCGCAGGTGGCGGCAGAGCCCGTGTGTGGCCGCGGGGCTGCTGGTCATCCTCGAAGGCGGTCGAACTGCTCTCCTCAGGTGCGATCCCTCCATCCCTCACCTTCCCCAAAAGAGCCGGTCACATCCTCACGTTCCCATAGACACTCATCTGTTCTTTATTATTTATCGAATTCATGCCTACGTTGGTTGACCAGGTGGACAGATGGGTGAGGGAATGAATGAATGAATGAATGAATCTCAATGACTGAGCAACGGCTCTGGGCCAGGTGTTGGGGATGCCACGAAAAATGGCTCCAGATCTGACCTCCAAAGACGTTGGCGTCAGTAACGCCGGTCATCAGACCCTACTGTAATCATGGTGTCTTCCAGTGTCCCCCCACCCCCCCGCCAGGCCAGGGGGAGGGGCGTGTGGGGAGGGAGCACATGGCGAATCTCTGATGTGTGAATAAGCAAATCACAACGCACTAGCTAATGATTACAGTTTCCTGAGGATTCGCTCCTGGCCGCCATGCTGCTAGGAGCTCTAGTTAGTCACCCTGCCGGGGTTCTCCGGACCGAGGGCATCATTGCTGCGATGTTCCCAGTGAGCTCCTGAGCCAGGCACTATCCTGTCCCCAGTTCACAAACGAGGAAACTGGCTCAGAGAGGAGAGGGGACACGGCCACCTGGGAAGCAGGAAGATGGGGACAGGAGTTCGGGCATGTCCGAGGCCGAAGCCCACACCCCTCGGGTCTCGGGCCTTCTGTCCACATCTCGACTAGCGCCAATGACCTGCTTTTCCCGTCTCCACACCCTCTTCTACCAGAACCTTCCTACCCCAGAGCCCGCTGAGGAGTCCCTCTGGCCCCGGGAAGCCCTCTCCCCTGACCCCCGCCCGCCTGGCTCCTGCCAAGGTCTGTCTTGCATCAGCAGCACGTGGTCCTGGGCGTCGTGGAGCTCGCGGAGGCGAGGGGCCTTGTCCTGAGTCCCCATCATGTACCAAGGGAGACAGTGGGTAAGGAAGGGCTTCTCTTCCTCCTCGGCGCCCCCCGTCTCCTCCCGAACCCCGTCTTCTAAAAGTCTCAGCTGAGAACACGTGGGAAAGAGCTTTCGATGGTGTCGCTTACCCTCCTGCAGAAAGAGTTCATGATGGTGTACAGTTTCCGCACTTTGTCCCTCAAGGTGTCCACCGGGGCCACTCTCCAACACTGGGGCGATGCCACAAAGTCCCGCAGCTTGGCCAGCACGCAGTAATTCTGGGGGAGGAGAACGGGGAGGGAGAAGTCATCAGCCAGAGGGACGGGAGCTGGGGGCGCCCACGTCCTTCTGCTCAGGGTCCCTCCCCACCCCCACCGCCGCCCCAGGCGATGGGGCCCCTCTTACGTGTATGTCCAGGTACAGCCTGGGCAGGTATCTCACGCACGGCTCCTGCAGAAGGGGGCGCGCGTTACTGCGGTGCCCACAAGGACGCACCCTCAGCCTGGTCGCGGAAGGCCCTCGGCCAGCCCTCCAGCAGCGACATGCACAATGCTTGCTTGTGCTCTGTGTCACATTCCTCCAGAAATAGAAAACCGACTTCTCGAGTGCAAACTTTGTATCGTTTACTATGAGTTAGGGAACTGTCTTATATTTATATATACATCTATATACACACACATAATTATAAGTATATATATATGTATATGTCAAACAGTTTTGGAACTGTAATCTGTATAATAATATACATAACATATACTATAATAATATGAAAGTGCATAAATACGTATACTTTGATGTTACTGTATTTTACTTTTTGTGCAGGACTGAAGGCCAGAGACCCAGACCCTGGTCCTTTTCTACCAGAAATTCCCCCAGTGACCTTGAGCAGGTCTCTTTCTTCTACGTGACTCAGTTTCCCAGCTGTGAATTCGAGTTAGAGTTCCTCCCAGCCTTGCAGTCCTGAGCCTATGCATTATTAGTATTCTTTTTACATATTAAAATCAGATTCTTTTAAACGATATTTGCTCTACATATTTAATACCAAGGAATCTGTAGACAAATTGTGGTGTCATCCTACAACAGAACGTTGTTACGAAAGAATATTTATTTATTTAACGGTGTCATTGAAAAGTAAATCACAAATCTGCTGGGCTGTGTAACCCTATCTGTTCACACACGCAGGTGCACACACATGCACACATGCATGCATGCATACACACGTGCACACACACGCCCACACACACGCACACACACGAATACCCACACGCAGGCGGACGCTGAAATATTATCCTCCAGAACGCTATGGCAGCAGTTAATGGTGTCATTGAAAAGTAAATCACAAAACTGCTGGGCTGTGTAACCCTATCTGTTCACACACGCAGGCGCACACACATGCACACATGCATGCATGCATACACACGTGCACACACACGCACACACACACGCACACACACGAATACCCACACGCAGGCGGACACTGAAATATTATCCTCCAGAACGCTATGGCAGCAGTTACCTCTAGGGGGTAGAATTGCAAGTAATATTTATGTTCTTTGTCCTTTGTGCGTTTTCCAACCGTTCTACAGAGTATGTGACTTTCAGAAGGAGGAAAAAAGTAAACGTTATTTACCTTTTAAAAAGAGAATACAAAGAAGGTGTTGGGGTACCCTGAAAACCCCACATCCGACGAACATTACATTTCGTTCGACGTTTACACGGGGTAAAGGGACGCTTCTGCGTTTTACCAAAGCTTTTAATGGACTGCAATTCGTTCCGTTTCTACACTGCATAAGCAGCCTGGGAGGCCCGGGTTCTAGTTCTGGGCATCCCCTGGGGCCCTCCGCTCCCTCCGCCTCTGGGTTCTCCTCCTGGGAGTGGTGATATCAGCGGCCACCACGCCTGGAGTGGCCGGCGCAGGCACTGCTCACGCGCTGTGTCCGTACTCACCCCTGGCCCCCGGCCGCTGCCCGGAGCGGGCGGGTGGATGCTCACGCCCTTCACAGGTCAGGACAGAGAGGTTCAGGGGCTGAGCGATCTGCCATGGCAGGCGGTGGGGGGAGCCCCCTTCTGGGAGTCCCCCCTTAGCACGCACACTCTTAACCACTCAGCTGGCGAAGAGAATTAAGAAGCTTAATTTTTTAGGCCTCTTTAACTCCGGAGTTCTAACTATGGGGAGCTTCTTTTTTCTTCTTCATTTTTTGTTGTTGTTGTTTTACGTTTTACAACAGATCCTCTGACATTTGCTAGCAAGTTACAAACAAAAATCATGAAGCCTTTGATTCCTTTTCTTTGTCCTTAAAAGAGAGCGCAAACGTTGGTGCTGCATGTCGCAGGATGAGGCTAAAACTCGAACACCCGTGAAGGAGACGGGCATGGACCAGAAAAAGAAAACAGCATTTTTTATCTCCCGGGGCAAAGGCACATTTTCAGGAACCGGGTCTGCTTTGAACCTCCTGGTCCCCAGCAGGCCGGAGGGGACTCACCAAGGGCTCCGTGGCCTGCAGGCTCTGGAAGTCTCCGGTGATCTCCCGGCTGAGGCTCAGCATCCTGGAGTAGCAGGTCGGGGGCGCAGGCTGCACGGCGGGGGGTCCGGCCAGGAGCAGCAGCAGCAGCAGGGGGAGCAGCCGGGGCGCCATGCTGAGAAGGGGCCTCCTGCAGCCCCAGGCCGCTGCCCCTTTAAGCAGCTGCTTGGGGGTGGTCCCCCACGCCTCCATTTCCTGTGGGGCCCAGCCAAGGCCAGGAGCACGCCCACCTGGCTGGGGACACTGGACCCTTTCAGACCTGAAGGCCCCCCTTGCTGAGAGGTGGGGCTGCCTGGGGGGGGTGCAGGACACCTGGAAGGCAGGGCCTCCCTCTTCCCAGATCCCTTAGGAGTTTCTCTCTCAGCGGGGGCTTCGCCCAAAGTGGCAGGGCCGGCAGATGAGGGGGGCAGAGGACGAGAGGAAGACAAGGATGGATGAGGGGTGGCTCGTCAGAGGAGCGGGCGGGCAGACGGGGCCCTCGGGCTGCAAAGCTGGTTGATTTCCTAGAGCAGAATCTGGGGAGAGAAAGAGGCCAGAACGGGTGGATTGAGCACCAGTGATCTGGAGCTTGGGGTCGGGCAGCTGGGTGTCAACGTCCACCCACCACTGACCAGCCAGAGGAAGCCTGGGTGGACACCCGCCCTGTGAGCAGCTGCGTCTCCACATCTGGGAGAGGGGCTTGTACTCGCACCCGTGGGGGCCACACGCGAGCATGGCCCGGCTCGCCCACCTCCAGCTCCGGCACAGGCCGGTGCACAGCAGACCCGCAGTGGGGGTTAGGTCGTGCGTGCGGCCCTTGCAGGGGTGCTGCAGGGCGGCTGTCCAGTCAGGGGGACCAGCCAAGGGGGCTCTTCTCCCCTCAGAGGCTGGTGGAATGCAAGGTTCGTGCTTCCGGCCATGACCTCAGGCTGGTTTCTTAACTCTTTCCTCCCTCTCCTTATATGCGAAATTGGGATGACGAGGGCGCCTAGCCCAGAAGCCCTGGTCGGGAAGAGAAGATGCCGTCCAATGTCACTGAGCGAATGTCAAGTCCCCCTTTCTGCAAGTGTCCCTGTGAGACAGGTGGCACAGGACACAGTCCCATTTCCCAGGCGGGAAAATCGAGGCTCAGAGAGTTCCAGTAACTCGCCCCAGGTCACAGAGCTGGAGGTAAACGAGTCCGCTGGGACTCGGTGCCTTGTTTTCCCTCCGTCCTCCGACTCCTGGTGCGGAGCTGCGGGGATCGGGACCTGCAGGCAGAGGACAGTGTGGGCTCCCGGGCTGCCCACGACCAAGCGGGAAGGTTCCTACTTAACACGGAGCATCGTCGAGGCGACAGCTACACAACTCTTGTCTGAACCGCCATGCGCCTCATGGAAAGCCGGGGAAGTGGGCGAGCTATTCCCATTTCCCAGAGGAGCCAGCGGAGGGTCTCAGGGATGCGCAGCTGTCCGAAGTCATGAGGCCAGTGAGGAACAAAGCCCCAGACCTGTGTCCGTCTGTCTGCAAAGCCACTGTCTCACGCCAGCGGCGGGCAGAAAGCGGCCAGGGCCAGCAGCGGAACAAAACGACCAAGATGGTGACCAGAGGGCTGCGGGGAAGGACCGTGGTGTCCTGGACGGGGGGCGTGGATAGAAATGCAGGGATAGAACCGGCCTCCAGCCTCCGCCCGCCCCGCTGGCCTGGTCCTGGCTCCCTGACCCTGTTTGTAAACAGCAGCGTCGCCCTGGGCGATGCCAGAGGTCCCTTCCAGCCCTGGCGTTCTATTTATCTGGTTTTCTGGTGTTAAAACCTCAGGCAGGGATCGCGGCCATGCCTTCCTGTTTTGCAGGTAAGAGTGTGTTCTCTAAACACGTTAGCAAGGTGACCTGGGGACGACTCCTGGCCACCCCGTCAGACAGGGCAGAGCAGGAGGTGCCAGCAGCAAACACAGATGTTTTTTTCTGGATGAAGAGGGGTCCTCTCTCCCTCCCTGGCAGACAAGCGGGCCCCCACCAGGGACTCCGGGTCCCCTTCGAGACGCTCCAGGCCCCCTGGATGTGCTCCTGGAATGAGCCTCTCATGCAGGACAGAGAGGAGAACAGGCCCAGGCCCTGAAACCAGCCCGTTCAGATCAAGGAGCCGTTCAGATCTGGACCGTTCAGATCAAGGAGCCGTCCCGTCCCCGTGCTGGAAAGCGGTCATCTGTGCCCTTGAAGTTGAGACGAACGTGGCGCTGGCAGCTCTGACCCAGGGCACGTGTGTGGTCGTCCACGGGTGTCCGGGTGGATCAGAAGCGCCTCTCTGCGTCCTGAGCACCAGACATGGGGCCGAGCGGATTTCGTCTGTCTTCGTCTGTCTCCCTCACCCGCTGAGTGCTCCTCTTCATCCTGGCTTGTCGGCACCCAGCACCCAGCACCCAGACGAGCGGAGCAGATGCTCAGGAAGGCGTTGCTGAATTAACTCGATGACTGTGAGTCTCGTTGCTCAGAAAGAGGCACAGCCCCTTGAAAACCCCCAGAGCGCAGCCCGAACCGGCCCCTCCCGGGATGCAGGGTCACTCCGGAGCCCCGTGTGTCATCTGCTGAGAGGGGGCTCCTTGGCCCCTCGCCCGCCCCTTCCTCGCTCCTGCGGCATGAGGCTGCTCCGTCTGGAATGTGAACGCTGACAATCCTGGCGAGATTCTCCCACAGACTGAAGCCTTGGGCTCTCCCCAGAGATTTCTCCCATCCCCCACGGTGTCTTAGTGGGAGACTGGGCCCCACCGTGCCAGGTCCCCGTGGGACCTCGATGTGCCGGAGAGCCCACGGCCAGAGCTAACGGGCCGCAGGTACACACCTCTCAGCCGGACACCAGCGTTTCCTCCCGGCGGATTCTTCATCCACTTGCTGGACACATGTACGCATTGCGAGTCCCCTGAGATGGGCCCGTGAATGGGAGGGACGAGTCGCTTTCCTGCTGCAGGAGAGTGGAGGGCGGGTACCTCTCCGAACGCGAAACCCCCGGGGCAGGTGGCCGAGGGCGGGAATCGTGGTGCCTGGCGGTGGCCCCGTCTGCGAGCTGAGGAAGTGGGGTGACGTGTGTGCGGGCGCAGCGTATGAGACGGGGGAGACTCTGGACGATGCTAAGCTGCTGGAGGAAGACAGAGAAAAGGATTCTCCCATAGTATCTCCAGAAGGGAAGCAGCCCTGCCGCACCTTGATGTCGGCCCAGCGAGACCTGCGGAGACATCGACGCTCCAGGACCGCGAGGGAATAAACGGGTGCTGTGGGAAGCCACTCGGTGCCTGGCGATTTGAAACGTAGGCGTCGAAGCTCTCCGGGGTTCAGTAGAATGAGAGAGAGTTCGGTTGCGAGGAACTTAGGAGGGATCTACATCAACCGGCCTGGTGCTCGGGCTTCCTTACCGCCGCCCCGTGAAGGGCGCATCCAGAGTCTGCTCGCATACCTGCCTGGATGGGGAGCTCATTGCCGCCTGGGGCCGCCCTCCTGTCTCCGGGCAGCTCTGGCTAACACGCTCTCTTCCCTGGTGCCGCCGTCCCTGGCCGACCACTCCTGGGCCCCCTCCCACAGGGCACGCCTCGGGCGACGCTCAGACCACAGTCACTTCTCACCCGTCACCCCTGGCCCTCTCCCCGCTCCCCCTGCCCCCGCCAAACAGACTCCGCTCTCTTTTGCAGCAAATGTCCCCGTTTCCTGAAATACTTTCCATGGGAGGCGGCTTCGGGACGCTTTTCCGCATTCGCATCATGATTTATGCGGGGTCCGTCCTCGCCCCAGTGGCCGCGTCTGAAGCAGAAACGCGCTCTTGCCGGCCCCGGCTCCTGATTCCTCCCTGGTTCCCCGGGGCCTGGAAGACAGTCCGAGGTCTGCGGCCACCCTGACCGGTCCTTCCCCGCGGCTTTACTCCAGTCACAGGGACGACGGCGATGACGATGAGCGAATTCGGGAGGTGCCGCCTCACTGGGCTCCTCTGCCCCGAGCGCTGACGCGTGTCGTCCAGCGCCACCCTCTCAGGCCACCGCGGCGCGGAGAGGTCGAGTGACTTGCTCCAAATCACACGTCGTTCACGCCCCTTGGGATTTTCAGTTCCCACGCCCAAGTGGCCTCTGACCCTCCCACGTGCCGTTTCCTGTGGTTCTGCTTCTGCGGTTGACCCTCACTCGACACACATACCATCAGCTCCATCTTCTTGCCGGGTCCCTGTGTGGTCAGAGAGCGGCCACCAATGGCGTCTAGGACACATGCTATCCCTCCCCGTCCGAGGAGATGACATCTCCCCGACCACTGAAGAAAGCTCTGAGCTCATGCTGGCCGCAGACCCTGCCCGCGTCTGCCTTGTGTTCCACTTAGTATTGTCGTGGTCTGGGACTCCTCAGCATTCGTAGACAAAGAGCATTTAGCTCCTTCTGGCCGTTCCGACTGGCGTGTTCCAATAAGGGAAGCGGCTAACCCGGGAATACGCTTTGTTCTCAGCCCTAAGGGTTTATGGGAAATTCCTGAGCAGACGTTAAGAAACAGGAACTTGTTGTTTTCTTGGCCCCTCGTTACTTGGCTCACACACAGAAGCGCCCCTTTCCGGAGTGTTCCCCACGTTCCTGCCCTGTGCCCGCTTGCGATGGCGGCCAAGGCTGAAGCGGCCAAGGCCGATCGCGGAGCTCTCTTGCCCAAAGTCTGACCAGTGACCCTCTTTGCCAGCGTTTGAAAGAGCCCGGTGGGTATCTAGGGGGGCTGTAGGCTGAGCGAGTAGCCCGACCGTCGCCTGCGGTGTTGCTGTGGACATCAGTGTTCCTTTGGTTAGAAGCCACGTATCTCCGCCGTGTATGTGATGTGTTTTTGAGCTCGTTACTTGCGCTCTTGGCAGACGCACGTGGAAAGTTGGCCCACACGGCCCAGAGGAAAAGGGTGAAGACAAACATCAGGGTTGGGCTTGGCGTTTGGACAGTGATTATGAAAAGAGCCTCGTCTTCTAGAATAGAGACCCCTCTGTGAACGTCAAAGCGTGGATTCAGAATTTACTGGGAAACGATGTGCAGGGCAAATTCTCCCTAAACGTTTTCCCTGGGCCTGGTCATGCGGGAAGGACTCAGAAAAATCTTTCGAGAAGCGTTTTGTTTTGGCTTAGCAGAAAGAGCACCAACTTTGGAGAAATACAGG